TTGGTATTTTCAATTTTGTTTGGATCGATTCCCATTGGTCAGTCATGTATCACGTGCATTAAAACCGTAGATAATTCTATATGTAAGTAAGTTTGTAACAATTCAAATGGCAGGTTCAACCTTAATCAGATGGTAATATGTATTAATAACTATGTATGTGTGTCTGTCTAGTAGGAGGAATTCTAATGTTTTCACTTTTGTGTGGTCAGTGGGCGTCGTAGGGTGCTATTTTATTGATCTAGTGCTGTTTTTATCTACGTATTCTTCATATTAGATACATATAAGTTAGATTCTTTAAGAATGGATTCAAAGGAGGGTGATGATGTAATGTAATGTTTTTAGAGTTGGTAATAATTTTATTATTAATCTTTCAAATTATTTTCTTCTTAAAGAATGTTCTTTTTTAATTGGTGTGACATTAGTAAAATCAAAGCTATGACCTGCCTCGTTCCTGTGTAATACGAGAGAGTTAGTAAGTTTGTCCAAACGTAAATCTCTTTTTTTTTAATTTAAGTTTTCAATTATCCTGAATTTTGAATTATCCGAGGTGTCCGTAGTTTCTAGAAGTAATAGATCCGACTGGAATTCGAACTCGGCACTCCGATTCCTCAATCCGATCTTCTATCCATTACTCCACCGTGAAATATATATTTATGTTGTGCAGATTATGAAAAAAAAATCCCAGTTGTAGAAAGTTTTATACATGATAGGTTGTTGATATTTGGTCACACCATTTATTTATATTTGTAAGTTGTGCCTAAACATGTCGACATAGTGTAACAAGCTTCTCTCGTTAGATCAATTACGACGGAGTTCGATCCTCGCTAGGTGCTCCATACTTTCGCACTTGAGGTACATCGAAAATATATTTAGAAAACCGATATTTGTTCCTTGGGATTCTGACAAAGATTGTTGATTTGTCTCGTGATCTTTACTTGAAATTTCTTTCGTTTTTTTTCAAAATTCATGCGTGAATATTTTCCACAACGGAGACATTTATTTATTTTTACTAAACTGCATCGCTGAAAAGGTTATATCGAAAAGTTTACAATAGTAAATGAAATGAGATAAAGATAGACCATAAAATTACTGACAGGATTTTTATTATTCCGTAGAAAACATGTTCTTATTTTAAGAGCAATTTGGTTTTTGATGTAAATGAACAGTGTACTTATATGGCATCAAATATGGTACATTTATGTAAAATTATGTTTTAATTGTTTTCATACATTACTTTTTACATACATATACATATAAATAATACGTATACATAATAATAATAATAATAATAATAATAATAATAATAATAATAATAAACAAAATGATTGACATAACTCTTTCAATATTTTTCACCATTTAGAGAAGAGCGCGATTTAAGACAAGAAAAAGAAAAGACAGTGTTTGACAATGTTAAACAATATTTCAACAGAGTGTCCGTTTTCAAGTTATATTTCAAAATTGTATACAAGTGTAAAAATATAAAAACAATTGCAAGTCTTTGTACAAATGTCGCTTGTCTTGAGGAAAAAAAAAAGAAAAAAAAAAGAAAAAAAAATGGTGGAACTTATGAAAAAAAGAAAAAATTGTCCCAAGCGAATGTGGTTTCAACGGTTTGCAATGCACATTTTGGGGAAATTTCCGGAATTCACTGACCTTTTCTCACTTAAAAGGCATGAAGATAGTTACATATGCAAACTACTAAGGTCCCACCCTACGTGGGGAGAGGAGGAAAAAATGACAGAATTCCGTGGAAATTGGACATGGCTGTTTAATTCCTCTAAGTAACATAATCAATAAAGGAAAATTTCAAGATGAGTATGACTCTATCATGTTACACACATTTCAGTTGCATTCTATTCACGTTGACTGCATTTCATTCACTTTGACGTGAGGTTTGTACATAGACTATTCATTTTTTGTAAATATTTTTACACATAATTTTTCACACAGACAGAAATACTGTTAAACATTGTCAAACTCTGGGATTTTTCTTTTGCTATACTTAAATCACGGTCTTTATGTGATGAATATATATATACATATATATATAAAGACATTTTTATGTTTATACATTCTTTTTATAGATACAAATATTTAAGTAAATGCTCTGTTTTATAATAAACAGTATTAAACAACATTTACTGGCTTGAATGTCCGAGAAATTTTCATGGAAAATATTCGTCCTCAGACAGGAATCGAACCTGTATCCTATACGGAATCGTCATATAGCCTGACGTGCCTTTAACCGATTGGCCCACAGAGAAACGTTTGGTTAGCAAGGTTGATTTTACTGTCTTCAAACTACAATCTTCCATGATTCTCTCGCGTACATTCATATCTGCTCATGACGTATCCAAATGTAAACAAATGACGTCACACATTATGAAATGGACAAATTCCGACAATTATTTTAAGACATTTTTATGTTTATGCATTCTTTTTTATAGATACAAATATTTAAGTAAATGCTCTGTTTATAATAAACAGTATTAAAGGAGCGTTCGGTTAGCAAGTTCGATTTTAACGTACGTGAGAAAATCATGGAAGATTGTAGTTTAAAGAGATTCAGGCCGGTAAATGTTGTTTAATACTGTTTATTATAAACAGAGCATTTACTTAAATATTTGTATCTATAAAAAAGAATGCATAAACATAAAAATGTCTTAAAATAATTGTCGGACTTTGTCCATTTCATAATATATATATATATATATAGGTTTCACCATAATGATGGAACACATTTTAAACGGGTTTTCCCACGCAGTTGTGGAAGTAAAACAAAGCATCCGTAGAGAGATCGCAAACATTCTAGTTGATATGCTCAGCCGCACTGTGTTTGAAATGAGAGAGCAAGCTCGTTAATATTCCTATAGTGGTGGTGACCATCACAAGGATGTAAGATTCAAATCTTACGTAATATGTTGAAATTTGGGATATCATTTATGCAATAAATATAGTTGATACTCTTATGTAATTTTTATAATCCAAGATACTTGCATTCAAAATGTGTTCCATCATTATAGGACACTATATATATATATATATATATATATATATATATATATAGATAGAGAGAGAGAGAGAGAGAGAAAAGAGAGAGAGAGAGAATAATCTGGAACGACAAGAACATCTGTCTCAAATCCCTCAAATCAAATATCAGTCTGTTATTGGCCCTCTCAATCTTTCTGTACACCTGTGAATCTTGGAGTTCTACAGCGAAGAGTCCAAACATTAGGAATGAGATGCTACAGAACCACGCTAGAACGCATCACAAATTATACTGTGCGTGAAATCATCAAACAAGGAAAAGATCCATTGTAAGATTCGTAACCATAATCCAGAGTAAATTAAAATGAGATGGACACAGCAATATTATCTCTGCCATCCTGCAGGGTATTATCTTAGACAAAGAGGTAGACAGATGAAAAAATGGACAAATAGCATAACTAAGTGGATTGGAAGATCATACAGAGACATTCCGAAATTGGGACGCAACGGAGACATCTGGAGGGAGCTGGTGAGGTGCTCAGCTGCGTATCGACTCTACAACCGCACACGGTGATAGGACTACTGCTGTTGCTGATGATGATGGTCTCAGCTGCGTATCGACTCTACGTTCCCACAAGGTGATAGGACTGCTGCTACCTCTGATGATGATGATGATCACAGGCGCGCCTCAACACTACGTCCCCACACGGTGATAGGATTGCTGCTGCTGCTGCTGTTGATGATGATCTTCGTCTTTTCTGACATATATTCATCTCTATCTTTTGCAATAAGATGACTGTTTTTTCAAAAAATTCAAATACTTTGACTGCATAAATCATTCACTCTGCTCCCCAGATTTTGCTTCATCTAATCCCAAACCTTAAAAGAAATTTGAAAAAGAAATTTCGAATGACTAAGGGGCGATTACAACAGCATTTTAATGACTATCAGGGTTTATTTTTGATAGGGTTAAAAAAATCTTGAGAAACCATCCACCAAGTGTGTTGAACAGCAGGGTTAAAAATGTGGAACTGGCCGTACATTTCATAGTTCCAGGTCACTCCCTCCTTAGGTGGGCCGTCGTATGAGTGTGGGCGTGCGCGTGTGCACACATGCAAGATCCAGAAAGTATCCAGCCATTTAAATAATTTAAGAATCTGTTAGGCGGCCTTGATATAAGTTAACAACCAATCAGAAGGAGGGAGCTTAATACGCATGTGTGAACATACACTCTCCCGTAAAGTTACTCAGTTGGTAGTGAGACTCTTTTGACTGAACTTTGTTTTGTTTACTGTCTTTCGCATTTCATAATGACCGAGCGGGTAAACAATCTCATCACTTTAGTCTGTCAATACACCCCCACCAAATATTGCCTTTGAAAGGAAGAAGATTTCAGACCGTGGGCGAGATTAGGGAGAATATGACGAATCAGCTAATGACTGTTCCAGATTTTTCAGACTGTTTTGAAAGGCAGAAGAGTCACTGAAATAAGTGTGCGACTATTTTGAAGGGAAATAAGGCGCCATTGCCCTAGGTAGTTTTTTTTTTTTTTTTTTTTTTTTTTTATAAATAGTAAATGGCTGGATACTTTCCGGACAGAGCACAGAAATATATCAATTTTTCTTTATATGCTTATTTACAATTACGGACAGCTTAATTTTTAGCTAAAATTATCGCCTAAATGTGCATATATATGTCCATCATTTATATTGTGGCTAAATCTTGAAGATTTCCTGTCCGAGTTTTCATTGAGGTGGTCATAAATCCCTTCTGGATTGTTCTGAATGTTTGAGTCATTGTTTAACAGACTAAAGTCGTTATTTTTCTGAAGAGGAAATTTTTTCTCGTTCCTAGCAGGAAGAAACGTTGAACACCGACCCATTTTGGTAGGAGAATCATCGACCGATTCATAAATGTCTTGCACTGGGGGTTGTACACGTCCGTAGTAACCACTGTTTTTTTGACACAATTCATCCACTTGCTCATATATGGCGTCTGAATCAGATTCACTGTCAGTGTCGATTTGAGGGACCGACGGGTTCTTTTGTAAAATAGTGTCGTAAGATCCACACAGTTTGCGCAGGCTGCTGCTTGGTGTAGCTGACCATTCTTCTGCTGAGTTTGGAATCAAAGGAACATTGCTTTGAGTATCTTCACAAATTGAACCTTGGTAAGAATTACAAGGTTTTCTTCTCCAAGACGATTGACTGAAATCACTGCTGCGACTTCCACGTGTGTTAAATTCTTGGGATGTGTTTCTCTGAATGGTATCTTCCGGGATTTGATCATACATATCTTCTTCAATAATTGTAGATACTGTTTTGTCTGCATGATCCCATTGCCGTATCGGACTATACAAATGCATTGTGGTATTTTCTGGATGGATCTTGGGTAGAAGTTCATCAATTGAATTGTACGTGTTTTCTTCTTCTGTTTGATGATGTTTTTCGGGTTCGATTACAAAATACATAGCTTCGCCATCAGCATCTTCTGATGGTAATTTGGTTTCCAGAGGTGTACAGTTGTAAAAATCCGTATCCGTTACTGGATCAGGTGGAGAAGGAAGAGTTGCAGCTGGTGTTTTCTTGGAAGATCTGCGCAAGAAAATAAAATAAAGAAGTAATTATATAAAGGTAAATCAATAAGTTCGTAACCTGATACAGGCATTATTTAAACGAATGACTTTGTTTATGTTTTGGGCATGAAAATAAAGTTCGCAGATATAGTCTTTGAAACGTCTTAACGAGAGGTGTGCATTAAGTAAGGGTAACTGAGACTTGCCTTCTGGTTAAGTCTAGCGTAAAAATGTTTTTCCCGAGTCAGAGGGAATGCGATTTCGATCCCTGCTATCAGGTATACTTATTTTTGAATGTCCAGTTCAGTAAACGTTATTAACTTTGTTTATGTTTCGAGTACAGTAATAAAATTAGCAAATATAGGCTTCGAAAGTTCCTAACGAGATATGAATATTTCTAAAAAAAGAAAAAGAAAAGAAGTTTACTGAGCTTTGCTTTGCATGAAATCTCTGATGGCGGAGTGATTAAAATCACACATAACTTAAAGGTGGTTATTTTGATGATATTTCTTTCTTTATTTTTATAGAGAAGAAAGAAAATACAAGCTGTGCATCAATGTAGCTCACCAAACATTCTACCGAGAATTGGATGTTGTAGGGGTTTCCCCCACTTAGTTTGCCAAGAAATCCATTAGGTGGAACTGCTTCAGAACTATAAAAGGTCGGGAATAATCTTCCCCTTCCTCTTTTCACTCTTTTCAATCTAGAATGCGGTAGGAAGAAAACTTGTCTAGTTTTCTTTTTTAGGAAGACTTGCATCGTCCGCATGCGCGCGCACACACACACAAACACACACACTACCGTTAATCCTATAATAAAAAATCGTGTGGGGATTACCCTCACTTGGTCTGTCAGGACGCTCGCTAGGTAGCGCTGTTTCGAGACCATAAAAGTTCAGGAAGAAATCTCCCTTTTCACATTTTTCTACCTAGAATCCGGTAGGTAGAAGTCTTGTCCAGTCTTCCCTTCTAAGGGGACTTAGTCACCCGACTACGAGTGCATCTTCTGCATACACGCACTCAAACAGATACACACTACCGCTAACCTTATTAATGTTTTCCGTTTCTTTTCAGGCTTACGGTCACATTACGTTGAAACACCAGTTCCCGTACGATCACCGAAATTAAGCAACGTCGAGCTTGGTCAGTACCTAGATGGGTGACCATTTAGGAATACCAGGTGCTGTAAGGTTGGATGTGCGGGTGGTGCAATGGATAATGGCTCGGAATTATTAATCAGAGAGCCGTGTTCCACTTCCAGTAGGATTCAATATATTCACTTTCGTGCAAATACCGCTGGAAAAATTATGAATCCACCTCTTCTCCCCCCAGCTGTAGGTTAATTAGTAAGACTTGCATAACTAAATCATCATTATTGAAAAACATCTTGCAAAATGAAAGTATTTTCTGGCTTTAAATAATCTGAATCGGTTGATAAGCCGTAGAAAATGAATTAATCAATTAATATAAACCTTTCCTTTTCAGATCTGAAAAACGCTAGATGTTTTATCTTTCTTTTCTTAATCATTTATTAATTATACATAAAATACATGAAAATATCAATGTGTTGAAATTTATTCCTTTTCTCTCCTTTTAGATTTACAAATGACGTGGTTTCTCTATTTGATCTCATTTTTGGCAAAACAAAATATTTCTCTGTATAAATTTATTAGATTTTATAATTAATAATACACACACACACACACACACATATATATAATGAAATGGACAAAGCCCGACAATCATTTTAAGACATTTTTATGTTTATACTTTTGTTTTATAGATACAAATATTTAAGTAAATGCTCTGTTTATAATAAACAGTATTAAACAACATTCATCGGCCTGAATGTCCTAAAAATTTTCATACAAAATATTCGTCCTCAGACAGGAATCGAACCTGTATCCTATACGAAACCGTCATATAGCCTGATATGCCTTTAAACGATTGGGCCACAGAGGAACGTTCGAATTGGCTGTATTTGAACTTCAATCTTCTATGAATCTCTCCTGTACATTCATATCCTATCATGCCGTATCAAATGTAAACAAATGACGTCACACATTATGAAATGGACAAAGTCCGACAATTATTTTAAGACATTTTTATGTTTATACGTTCTTTTTATAGATATAAATATTTAAGTAAATGCTCTGTTTATAATAAACAGTATTAAGCAGCATTTACCGGCCAGAATATATATATATATATATATATATATATATATATATATATATATATATATATATATATAAGTTTATAGAAAGTTTGCTGCCCAAATATACAATAATTATATATATATATATATATATATATATATAATTATTGTATATTTAAACAGCAAACTTTTTTCAATCATCTTTCATTGAAAACGCCCGAGAAGGAAGATTTTAATCTTTTATTGAGTTTTACTACTAATCTAACATTTTTCCGTTTTCCAGGCGTTAAAGAATATAAAATTATCCAAAGTTATTATTGTTCCGAGCGCTTTTCTAGTTCTGTAGCCATTATCAAGGATGATTTTTTTTGGTTTTATGAATTTCAGTGTCTTATCTTCTTCATAGTAGTTTAGCTGTGTGACAGTCACGTGACATGCGCAAAAGGTTGACCTGGGCATGACTTCAATTTTAAAACCTTTAAGACGCAGTCTCATCTGCTAACCAGTGAAAGATTGATAGCAGGAGAACGATATTTAATCAGTAATGCTTCTCTAATAGAAAGTTATCTACGACTATGTGATTTAAAAAGAATATTTGTGTTATCGACCAGAATTTTGCTTGACGGTTGTTGTACATTATGGATTAATAATGTTTATTTATTAATCGCGATATATATATATATATATATATATATATATATATATATATATATATATATATATATATAATTAATGAACTGGGAACATCCAATAATAATGAACTGGGAACATCACCCAGGGAAACTATAGTCGCATGCTAAAACGTAGCTACATGTACTAATTAATATGTGTGTGTATATATATATATATATATATATTTTTGAGACATTTTTTATGTTTATACGTTCTTTTTATAGATACAAATGTTTAAGTAAATGCTCTGTTTATAATAAAGAGTATTAAACAACATTCACCGGCCTGAATGTCCGAGAAATTTTCATAGATAATATCCGTCCTCCGACAGGAATCGAGTCCGACAATTATTTTTTAAGTCATTTCAGGCCGGTAAATGTTGTTAATACTGTTTATTATAAACAGAACATTTACTTAAATATTAGTATCCATAAAAAGAACTTATCAACATAAAAAATGTCTTAAAAATAATTGTAGAACTTTACCCATTTCATTATATATATATATATATATATATATATATATATATATATAAGCTTAATCAAGAATTTTTCATAAGCGCCTAAAAAAGGACGGAAAGCCTGTTATATTTTTACTTCTGATAGCCTAATTCCAAGACTCGTTCTAAATTACAACGAAGATAATTGTATCCTTGACGACTTGAGATTGGATAGCACATAATTTATGTTATTTGAAACCAAGTTTTAATTATTGCATTAATGAAATTAAAGCGCATAATATCAGTTAATATTTACTTTTACCCTATTTTAAAAATGTTTTAAGATACGTGTATCAATGAAATTAGAACCCACTAAAAACTGTTTAATTTTTATCATTTTAAGGTGAACTTTCCCCGAAGTGAACTTTCCTCGCGGTGAAATCAAAGAATAATGAATACTGCTGTTGCTAGTCGGGGATGCGACCACCAGTACTGAATTGTACTTATAAGAATCAGATTAAACTAAACATGGAGTATTGCTGTCATATCTAGCGTTAGAGCTGCCCAATGCCTAGTTCAGAATCGTTTACACGATATTGTAGATGACGAATTATTTTCCACTCTACAGCCTCTTTCCACGCAGACATAAAGTTGCATGCCTATCGCTACTCTATCGTTATTTCTATGGCAAATATTCATGCATACTTACTTTTTATAAAGAACAGAAACGCAGACGGAAAATGTGAGTAAAGTCAAGCCACCGGCGATTCCTGCAGTCACTTTCAAAATGAAATCTGTTGAAAGATACAATTAAAAAAATTATAAAGTATGCATAGAGATGTCATTATTTTAATCAGGGACGTGCCATCTGGGTTGGGTAGGAAAGATGGCCAATGACTAACATTAGAAACGTTATTATTAAATTTAAACTACTTCTAATGAATTAAATTCAATGCACAATTAAATAAGTGACTCTTATTTTAATGTCACAAATGCATAATTATCAAGAGTGTTTCAACCTCACTATAGGTAGGTCCATTTTTATGCACGTGCCGTGGATGCTACTCCGATGCACATATAATAACAGATCATGAAGGCACTTGAAATTCTGCTTTCGGTTCTATGGGCGCACATGCGCGTACGTGCACGAACATAGGCACGCACATACATACACGCGCGCATACAAATTTAATCAATGATAAATGTATTTAAAAAAGAAAAATCGAGAAGTACAAGCAGTCAATTGCTGATATCCCTTGACGAGTGGACGGACGGGTCCGTCTATGAAACTCTGGTGTCGGGATGCTGAAGTTAATATCAATCAGCTAAGTGACAAACCTTATATACTTGATAAGACACCAGAGGTGCTGAAACAAAATGGCTATTTTTGTAGTGATTTTATAACATATTTATGTTATAATTTTTAAATAAGTAATTATATATATATATATATATATATATATATATATATATATATATATATATATTCAGAACGAGGTTTTTTTTTCGAAAAAAAATTCGGTCTGAAAAGATGAACATATTTAAATTTATTCATGAAATAAATTATAACTGAGATGGATTTTTTAAGGATTTCCTTTACTTACTGCTATTATATTGCTCTGTTTTTACATTGATCTCTCTTTGTATTAATGTCCTCTTTGGAATTATCTCTGCCAATTACCATTTTAGTATCATTTATATATATATATATATATATATATATATGTGTGTGTGTGTGTGTGTGTGTGTGTGTGTGTGTGTGTTTTTGTGTTTGTGTGTGTGATATGACGACAGGATACTTAAAGTGCTCATGTAGAGCCAGCTTGACAGTGGACAAAGGTCTGTTGACCGTGGCCCAGGTATAAAGACAAGCTAAAGACTAATTTCTCAGCTGTCAATATGCCTTATATTAATGAGTGAGTTGCCCTGGAGAGAAATAACTGGAAATATTTGTGACAGAGTGGTATCAGAAATTTCGAAATCAGTTGTATTGACTAGGAGATGAAAGACACTGGCAAAAGGCGTCAGCAAATATTCCTGTTGCCGTATATCAAGATCCTCGCTGTTGTGCAATATGTGGACTTGTATGCAGGTCACTAGAGGGACTAAAGTGTCACATACTACACAAACATAAAAGCTGAATGAAGTTGCCGAATCCTCATATGTCGAAATCGACTGGAGAATTCATTATCTATCACTCTCTCACTCTCTCTCTCTCTCTCTCTCTCTCTCTCTATATATATATATATATATATATATATATATATATATAAAGTTAATTGGTAATCCGTATGGATAATTCCAGGAGGATATAAATCCCTTATTTTGATACCGCAATTTTTAACGAAGCGAAACTGAATTATGTCGGTCGAGCGAAATATAAACTATTACCATGGCTTTCTGAAGTCTCCGATTTGTTAATTATATATATATATATATATATATATATATATATATATATATATAAACAGACCACTTTAAGGATCCATTGAGCTCTCAGGATTTCATCTTCTTTGGGATTATCCATGCAGATTACCAAGATTTTCGTATATATATATATATATATATATATATATATATATATATATATATATATATATATATATATATAAACTCCCCAGATTTTATTACTACGTAATCTAAGAAAATGATGAAGCTTTCATTGAAATTCTTTATCATTGAATCAAATGATAAAGACCAAAATAAATTGAGTTTAAAAATTGTAAAATATTGTAAAGCCGAGTAAACAGTAAAATGTGTAGAAATGCCTGAAAAGGTGCAGACTTGCAATATCTGTACTCAGACTGATAAGACGCATCGAACTTAAGTGTCTTATGTTATATAACAACAAAGATGAAAGAAAAAACTAAATATAATGAAAGTACAACGTTGTGTCTTGTGCTAAAATGGATAACAACTTATGGCCATAAAATATACGAGAATTCATGTCGTGCCAAATATTTTTGAGATAAGATTTTTTTTCCATCTAAATTTCGTCAAAATGCTTATTCAGTATCAAGTGGGGTACTTGAAGAACATTCTTTCGTTTTTGCTTTATTTGTCTCTTGAAATATGACTATTATTTTTCAAGGCGCACAGCTAGATTATAATGCATCACATCTCTTAGGCGTGAGGTCATTATTCTTGGTTATGATATGGTTATGACCATATAAGGAAGTATAGATGCTTAGTCCTGCGCACACGTACACACTAGCGCACACGTACACTTGAACGCACACGGTCACACATACACGTACACACACAGACTTACACACTGCTATACGCAAACATGTACACACACATTTGCACACACGTGCACTATCACAAACAATCTTACGCACATACACACATACATACACTCATGCGCACAAACACAAACTTGCACACACGTACAATAACAGACGCATACGCGCACGTGCACACACACATACACGCACATGCAATAAAACACGTACACTAACAGATATACTTACACACGCATACACGTAAACTAGAACGCACATACACACCTGCATGCACATACATGCTCACACACGGACACTAACATATTTACACGGCCTTCCTCGAGGCTTACTCCAAAAGTAATGCCTCATATTTAATTTTGTTAATCTACGACATCAGAGGTGGATGCTGATGTTATGGAAGTAGAGATTAAGCCTTCCGCCCTATAACCCATAACTGTTTCTTATAAGCTGGTAAAGCGGAGTCTGACACGAGAGTGCGTACTAGACAGAGATGTGTCATTGAAACCCTGAATGCGAAAAATTACCCCTATTACTATACAACGACGCTTGCTGGGTGTTTACGGAAACCAAACAATAGAAGTGAGCACAGTTAGGAGTAATCCTTTTTAGGAATGGTGACCATGATGTCTGTGTGAATCCTTGAAACGACAATCTCCTCGGAAATCCATAGCCAGTAGTGGTGCTGGCTCTGTGAACAATGAATGTTTCATAGCAGAAAACGAGCTCGATACAATAGTGTTATTCTATTCACACTATCTCTTAGTTTCCGTTGAAATAAATAGGAGTGATCACTTTTGGATCATCGCTTTTTCTTATATATATATATATATATATGAAGAAATATAGTCTTAAGATGTGCTATATTAATGGGGTAAAGTGCTCAATATCAGAGATAGAGCGTGTGTAAATATAAAAGTGAACATAGAAGTCAACACTTAGAGGCGACAGGCTGTTTCCTACTAGACGCAATCGTCAGGCCACAAGTGCTGTTATTTTTCTCGGCTATTTATATATACGGGTCAGTGGTGCATTGTGGGTAGTCTATTTTGGCTGTTATTTTACCGGAAGTCGTTTATTTGTTTATTTATTTATTTGGGTTAAATTGTTTTGCTTGTTTTTATTTATTTTTATTTTTATTTCTTATCGTATATATTTATTTATTTTTTTTATTAGTCGGTATTTTTTATTAACGTAGTAAAAATTTGTTTATATAGCTTATTTAATAGTTTTGTTTTGGTTTGGGAAGATAAAGCTATTTATTTAATTTTGGGATTGATTCTTGTAGTTTATTCTAGCTATTATTTTGGCGGGAGCAGTTTTTAATTTGTTTATTACTTCATGTATTTATTTGGATTCTGTGATAGTGTGGTCCAGCATTCACTGCCATATAGGAGTACCGATATTTACATTAACAATCCAGTACTCTTTTCTTTGTTTACAATGAAATTTTCCTTTTTTCTTAATACTTTGCTTTGGAAGGCATCTTTCGTTCGCCCAATACACCTTCGGATTTTAGGTGACGCATTTTCCACCCGCTGTTAAAACACTTTCTTACATTTTTGCACTTGTTTAATTTTGGTCCTTGCAATTTGAAATTCGCATGTATGGTCGTTTCTTTTTCTGACAACCATGCATTCTGTCTTTTTACAATTAATGTTTAGTCCCTTCTTCTCTCTTTCCTTTACCGCTTTCCTTTCTGTATCTGTTATCAACACCGTGTCGTTTGCATATCTAATGTTGTTATGATTGTAGCCGCCAATAATGAATCCTGGTAGGACTTCTAGATATATCACTGTCATAACGTTATAAAACTATATCCCGGTTCGAAGTACTTAGTCTAGATGGACATTGTAGTGCACCATCCACATTCCCTTCGTATTCCATTGATAAGATTTAAGTTCCATTCGATCAGCAGCTTCTCATGAATCGCTGCTTTGTGGAACCGATTCCCAAGAGGATATTTCCCCGATCGCTACAGTTTTAACCTGTTCAAGTCTAGGGGTAACCGTTATCTCCCCCCCCCCATATCCTCATAAACTGTGCCACTTACTCTGTAATCCTCTACACCGAGTGACTCTTGGGCCTTGTACAGGATAGACATCGGTGTAAAAATAAAAATGAAATGGACATTCATTTATGCAAAATTATTTGATACCAACATGCAAATAACTAGGGTTAAATATAAACATTCAGTCATGCAAAATTTTTATTTCAAATGCAAACTAAGAAACGTTGTTGCAGAAATGCAAATTTAAGGATATGAACTGAATTATTTTGAAGCAAAACAAAGCGTTATTAAGTCTTCGGTTAGTATTTCTTTCATCTTAATTTCAGTAGCGTTTTGTTGCAACTGTCACTCGACGCAATGCAAATGAGAAATGCAGAATAATCATTTCGTGAAACTCAAAATTGCATCGTTTTTCCTCGTAAAGGGAATAGAACAACATCTGCTTTTTACTGCTTAGGACATGAAAACAACTTGCCGGCATCCATTGAAATCTAATTATATAACCGCCTGATGCATCATAATTTGCTTTTCACAGTGAATG